TGTAATAACTAAAAACTCGTAAATATTTTTAACTATAAATACATACATTTAATGAAATTGTTAATGTTCTCAATCTAAATAAAAATAATATACATTATCAAAACTTAGATTAGTACCTAAATGTCATAAGTATGATATAAAATAATAAAAATGTATTTTATCATAACTATAGATACACATTTTTAAGGACGTAAAAAATTAAATCGGTACATAAAGTGAAATGGATGTATGATAGAATAGATGCAATAAMATTTTTCTTAAAACTTTCAATATTATTATGTTTTAATTTTTTTTGCCATTTTATTATTAACAACATACATAGTCATGGGTCTTAGGGTAACCTCCTGGAAGTCACTTCTGCATTATTTAACACATATTTAGCAGAATTATTTAGTTTTTATTAGGTAGATAGTTAATTAATAGTTTTTGAATAACTATTAGAGCCATAGACAATAAAGTAGAAATTAAAACTGGCTTGTTTAAATAATAGGGAATTTAAAAAAAAATAAATACTATGTTGGATACTTATAAGTTATAATWGTAAAAATTTAAAACAAATAAAAMAACCCCACTAAATTAACAGATAATTTAAATATTTAATAGCAAAATAAATATTATAGAATTTTAATTATGCACATCTTAAAAGTACCTATTTGTTTGTTCAATAAATATTTAAGAATATTAGTATAATATTATTGTCCATGCCACAAAAACAATGGATTATAATATACTGTTTTATCTACCAATGAAAAAATTCATACAACAATTATTTTAATATCAATTCAATTGCATAAAAAGTTTTTATTTTAACACAGTTTTTGGTATCTTAGTTAAAAGTACAATAAACAATCTWAAAATAAAATTTACTAAACATTTATCTATAAATAAAAATTAGATAAAATTAGTACTGTTATAAATGAAACAGATAATATGCTGKAGTTTACCAAAAACTGTTAAAAAATCAATTGAACACTTTTTATCTGACGACAACAATATAGTAAATATTCTTCTAATTTATTTAAAATCTGTTGAATAATTGGTAATATTGAAAAGTTATAATATATTAAAAAATGTATGATGCCACACTTGTATGGCACAACAATAAAATTTAACTAGAAGCTATCTAAAATAACTATTTATCACAGAAAAGTATACAAACTAAAAATAAAATAATTACTATAAATTATCCAATTCTTAAAAATAATTATTATTTTAGCTGAGATCTTATAAACTATAAAATATAAATCTTTGGTAGTTTAGTACATTAAATTAATATATCAATATTAATTATTTAAAAAAAGAAATGTTTGCATTAAGACAGAAATTCAAGAAATTATAAAAGTTATATTTTTTAGTTATTYGTATTTACCTTATAAGGTAAAATTGAAATCATGTATACGTTTAACATGATAAGTATTATTACTTTATGTAAAATATTATAGTATAAATATTTTATCATTAAGAAATAATATTGTGGGTACTAATTAGTTATTTAAAATAATTACAATTCTTTTCAAACTGGCACAAATAAAAGCCAACAATTAAATTAGTGCTAAATGCATAGTATTTAACAAATTTTTATATTTACCCATAAGTATATAACAAAGTATTAAACTAATAAATGGAAATCCTTTTCTGTCAAGGCCGAGGTTATGGCTGATCATCATCAGAAGTTGAATTTTCTTTTAAACTAGTTTCTTTGAACCACCCGTCTCTGTATTTATCTTTCAAGTTACCAACATGAGGCCTATACAAATTACAATGTTAAAATTTTTTAAAGAATAAATAGTAAATCAATGATTAAACGTAAAATCGAAGTACCTTCGTAGTCTTCCATTATCAGGTAAGGTCATTGAAGAACGTGATTCAATACCAACTGCAGTGTGTTCATGAGTTAATAATTGTGGTCTTCGTTCTAGCGTCATTGTTTCTGGTTCAGGAAAAATATCATCATACCCTTCAGCAAGTTCTTGATCGTGCTTACAATTTTCACATTCTTCGCGGAAATCATTGTTAGAAATAGTAGGTATTTTATCATGACATTGATATTTATCATTATTCGTTTGATCTGAAATAATCAGTTAAATAAGTGATAGAAACAAGTATAAAATATTTTAATTTATTACTGTCTACTAAAAACTGCTGGTTGGTAGTTGGTTCAGACTCGGGGTCACATGAGGTCTGAGGCTGAACATTTTGTTCAATTTCAGTCATGTTGAAAGGTATAGTTCTATGGTAAGTTGTAACTTCATCTACTAGTGCATTTAACTGTTGTGGTACTATTTGGTGAGGTAATGCAATAGCTTCATCATATGGAGGCGGTGCATCACCACGTGGATAGTATGTCTTCCATAAGGGTATATGAAGAGTTGCATGATCACCATAATATAAATCAGGCCTAGGTAAATTCATGTAGCCACTAATGAATCCAATTCCACGTACACCTTCACCCATTTGAAGTGAGTTTGGATCAGTAAATACTTCTCCATCTATATGGCAATACAATTTGTTTTAAAATATACAGAGGTTTCATTATTTAAGGTATTTATAGTAAATTCTATTGTTATGGTTTAAATTATCACATACAACTATATAGGTTATAAACTACAAACTATATACTGTTTGAAAAGAGAATATCAGTTCTGTGCACTATTTTCCCCTTTTGCTAGTCACTTTCAACAAGGCTGGTACTAACTTTTGCGAGACCCTAGACAAAAMTTATTCTACCAATAATTATGGTCACCTATAGATAGCGTCTATGTACATTTTAAGCGGGAGGCCCTGGACAAATGCCCAGCTTTGCACCCCCCTCCCCCAACCATTGGCCCTG